TAGAATTTATAGATTTGCTTTACTCAGCCTCTGCAAATCCTTTTATATCAGGCAATTCAGATTTTTGACCAATATTTGTATATTGCTAATTACTTTGACTGAGCTGCCTATATTCATTTGGGGTTAAAAACACATTTTAGGGACTAGATATTTTTGCAATATCAAATTCCTGAATAATAAAATCAATTGCATATATGTAGTATTAATGTAATGTTAATAAATAGGATATTAAATACATGTATTTAAGAAATAAATATATGCAATATAATATAGAATATAATAATACAATTATACTATTCCAAGTTTTACATTTACCAAATATTGCCAAGTTGATCCAAATGTATTGAAAAAAAAAGGTGAAAAAAATCCAAAAGAAATCAGAAATACTTATAAAAACATGCAGTAATTGCTGAGAATATTATAATAATATGTTGTTTTTTGCATTAATATTTAGATACAAAATAATTTTAATACAAATTCAGTTTGAATCTGTTACATAGTTAATTTTCTATGCAATTCTGATATATCATGAAAAGAACAAGCTATAAATTGGTAATTAACATTGAATTGCAATATAATTGTAATCTAATTCAAATATTCAGAACCAAATGAATGCAAAAGTTAACATCGAATGTAACATATAAAGATGATATGAATAATGCTACAGATTTACTTGTAATTTTCTAGATTAAAAATGAAAAATCATTGTGATGGTTAGTTTATTTGTTAACTTGTCACATCCTAGAATCACCTGAAAAGACAGTCTCAATGAAGGATCATCTACACTGGGTTGGCTCTGCGCATGTTGTGGTAGACTGTCTTAATTAAGTTAATGGATGTGAGGATACCACTGTGCACCACATCATTCCCTAAGCAGGGAGTTCCTAGCTGTATAAGAGTAGAAAATCAGGCTGAGCACAAGCCAGCAAGCAAGAGAGCATGTAGGCATTCTGTCTCTGCTGTTGACTGTGGATAGATATAACTACCTGTTCTCCCTAAGCAGGGAGTTCCTAGCTGTATAAGAGTAGAAAATCAGGCTGAGCTCAAGCCAGCAAGCAAGAGAGCATGTAGGCATTCTGTCTCTGCTGTTAACTGTGGATAGATATAACTACCTGTTTAAAGTTGTGGTGATTTCTCCACAATGATGGACTGTGACCTAGAATGGTAAGTTGAATAAACCCTTCCTTCTCTGTGGTGCTTTTAGTCAGGGCATTTTTTACTTATTTAATTTTTTAAGAATTTCATATATAAGTACTGTATTTACAACACTGCAAGCACTCCCTTCTCCAACTCCTCCCGTGCACCTCCCTCCCTGCTCCCAATTATCACAGCAACAGAGATGAGACTACAACAGCCTTTAAAATAAAAGTTGAGTTTCCATTTTGCTGTTTTTCTATTTATTTAAAAATAAACACCGAGAGTTGAGGAATCAAGCAAAGCTTCTCAGAGTGCAGAGACAGTCCAGGAAGTTCCTCTCCTCCAAGCTTTCTGGCATCTCCTGCAGTTAAGATGTGACTTTAAAGATCACAGTTCCACCTTCCTGTGATTTGTTTTGTTTTTCCTTGATCCCAGGAGGAAGCCAGCCCCACTCCTTGCTGCAAGAGAGCATGAGGCACTTGCAAATTGTCAGTAACCAGATTCACATGCAAAACTTATAAGTCAACAGGAGAACCTAAGATTTGCTCAGGTCTGGTGGAGGCTCATCTTGATCCAGGCAGAATTCGTAGTAAGGTAAGTAGTACACAATAACTCACCTTTCCTTTTGTGATTGCTAAGTGAACAGCCATCAGATGGAAGACTTCGGGGCTCTAATTGGAGGAACCAGTTTCTTTAAACACCTTCTGTAAAATTTCTTGGGACAACTTATGCCATCTACCTTATAAGCAATTGGATCGTGACTCACAGGATGAGACAGGGCTGCAGCTTCTTCTGAGTGAATTAGCACGTGAGTTGTTCTGTGTAGTTTATATTATCAGAGGAACACTGATAAAGGATCTAAATGACATGTATCTGGAAAATGTGGAACAAGCACTGGAAATCTGTGGTATTTGTGTAACATTTCAACCTGCTCAGCACAGTCCAAGACACATATCATTTTTCACTTGCAAAATTACATGTTGTAGGCATCTTTTAAGGTGTAATATAAAGACTGATATTTCATAACACATGGGTTTCAAGCACAAATCTGTAACTTTCTAAATGCTTAGGCAAACCACATCTAACTTTTGGCATGCTTTCTTACCTGTGTCGCAAATAGTACTGCCAAACCGCCTACTCCCTTGAGAACAAAATAGGATAATGCCCACACTTTAGCTAAGACATTATTTAATATTATATCAATCCATATTTGATAAGGGTTGTAAGATATACCACAATTATTTTATTCAAGATTCATTTTATCCTCTCCAAAAACTTGTGTTTTTCTTCTCTTCTATTCTTCCAGAGTTCCTTCACATATGTCACGTATGAAAGAATAGTTTACAGACATCACTTTCGTTGGAGAACGAACCCTGGTTATATGTCAAATTTCATTGTTGCGCCTAGGAAGCTGTACTACAATGCAGTACTTGAGGGTTCCCACGGCATATCCTGTACTTGTACTAATATGCTTATTTCATTTTTTTTAACAAAGTACATTTATTCAGCAACAATGAAACATTTTAAATTCAGACAGTGAGCAAAAAAGAGCAATTTTTTAGTTTCAGTGTTTTCAAATTCTTGGTGTGTTATTCTTTGAGATTCAGGGAGAATACATCTAAGTATTCCCAGGAATTATTAGAAATTTGTAAATTATTATTATTTTAATTATGCTTCTAACAATCTCCACACTTTATTATTTGAATAACTAAAATTATTGATTAAAGTATAAAATATACTAGGTTTAGTAGTACTGTCAAAGAAATACAGCCTACTAGGAATATTCAAACCATGAAAAGGATAATTTAAAATTCAGATCTCCAAGTAAGATAATAATTCCTCATGTAATAACATGTGGACATTTTGCACTTAGGACATATTTTGTGTTTAAAATATGTCATAAGGTCAGAGATGCTGGCACATGTCTTTAATCCTAGCACTTGAGACACTGAGGCAGAAGTTTCCTATGAGACTGAGCAGACTGGTCTATGTAGTGTGTTCAGGTCCACTGAGGTTATAGGGAAACTCTGTCTCAAAAAAATATTATACCTAAAAGAGCATTAAAATTACCTACACTAAGTATACCATATGTGGGAACTCATTAATGTGCTTACTGTCTATTTATTTCCCTTTCTTGTATAAGACTGGCTATTTTGAATGTGTATTGTATTTAGTTACCAGACAATAAATGGTAATAGTTCATCTTGTTTTCTGCATGCATTCATTGGAACAAACTGCAGTTATTTGGAAAGATCCCATTTCTCTGTGTGATAAGAATCAAATATCATAAGGAGAAAGATATGAAGCTACACACAATACAATGAAACATGAAGGACAAGTTTACCTACCATAAGGATACCAAGGGAGCATCACTGCTGCTTCAAGAAGGCTGGAAATGCAGCATACCACTGTCGATATGTAATGCAATCTTCAGCCGTAATGAAACGTAACCAATTCTATAAGATGACAGCTAATGATTTTTCAAAGTATATTACTCTAATAAGATTCTGTATATAGTTCCTTTCTAAAGGTTGATCCAATTAATAGTCCCTTCAAATTTCCTTGAGATATTTTCAATCAAAACCTCTTATTCACTACCTCATTATGAATCCTGGTAGTCCATTGGTTTAAAAAAAATCTATATCATGAGTTGCATCACGTTAATATTCACTCTTTAGTTTCCTCATTGCAGGTAGGGACAAAACATTTTAAAGTAACTGAACATTTGCTTTTACTTCACTGTGGCATTTCCCTTCACACAATTAACCACTTTACAATCTACTGGGAAAACATTTATATTATGTAAATGAAAGAGTAAATAGACGGTTAGAGTGTGGGAAGTAGGGAAGCTACAATGGCTGGGACTACAAGTTATAATCAGCTCCCTAATAAATTCCATAGTAAGGGGAGAAATAAAAGTTCTGGATCCAGTACAGTATCAGGAATGATACCAACCCTTGTTTGTCTCCAATATGATCATTCTAACATCATTGAAAGATTCTCTCAGAAATTGGTTTGCCTATCTCAGAGGCATGAATACATTGTCATTTGAATGTCTCTGAAATATCATGGCCAAAATTTATTTTGAAGAAGAAGAAAAAAAAAGGAAAAAAGAAGGAAAACAATTCTCCACTTAAAACCTCATATTGGCCCCCATGGAT